AAGTTTATTTTGCCAAGGTTGAGGATGCGTGCCTGTGGCACAACCTGAGGAGGTCCTGACGACATGTGCCCAAAGTAGTCAGAGCACAGTTTGGTTTTATACATTTAGGGACACATGAGACATCATTAACATATGTAAGATGAACACTGATTCGGTCTGGAAAGGCTGGGCAACTCAAAGCAGGGAAGGGGCTTCCAGGTCGTAAGTAAATAAGAGACAAATGGTTGTATTCTTCTGAGTTTCTGGTTAGCCTCTCTGAAAGAGGCAATCAGATATGCATTTATCTCAGTGAGCAGAGGGGTGACTTTGAATAGAATGGGAGGCAGGTTTGCCCTAATAAAAGAAAAACTTCAGCCGAATTAAATTTAAAGGAGCTTGATTGAGCAATGAAGTATTCGTAAGTCAGGCAGCCCCCAGAATCAGAGCAGGTTCACAGACTTCAGGAGTGCCTCCTGGTCAGAACAAATTTATACACAAAAAAGTTAAAGTGACATACAGGAATCGGAAGTGAGGTACAGAAACAGTGAGATTGGTTATAGCTCCGTGTTTGCCTTACTTGAACGCAGTTTGAACACTCAACAGTCTATGAGTGGTTGAAGTATGGCTGCTGGGATTGACCAACACTCGGCTATTGTTATGGGTACATACTATTAAGTTAGGTTTTCAATTTTGCCTGACTATTAAGCTAAGTTACAGTTCATCCACAAGGTCTCAAATATGGAAGTACGGAGTCCTTCTCAGGCCATATTTAGTTTGCTTTAACAATTCTCCCATTTTGGTCATTTTCTCAATTTTGAGAGATTGACCAAAACCTTAGTCATTGATGTTACTATCACTGTTGTAAATGTACTTTAAACCTTTGGTATTTAACAAACCTTTCAAAATCAAGCTCTAGATTATCATGCTAAATCAGCCAACATTAAGATTGTTTTGAAACCCACTGGGAAACAGTAGAACAGTGGGTTTTGCAAGGAGAGAATAAACACTGAGCAGAGGGTATCTCCTTACATTGGAACATCTATTTACAGGAGAAAAACAAAACCTGATCTTTTCTAAGATCTATGTGTTTTCTTAAAGCCTTAGTTGGATTATGTCACATTTAGCACAAGTGACTCCATTTTAGTTTCATTTGGTTTGTTAGGGCCTAGTGCATGAGCTCAGTCCAAAATAATGGCCTCCCATAATTTTGTTTAAAAAAATTCCCCTTTTCTGGCCAGGTTCTCACTTAGGTGAGAGTGTGACCAAAACTTAGGGCCTTAGCACCACTCTCAGTTACCATCGTTTTAGGTTTCCAGTCTCAGCGTGTCATTCATACGTTATGGTATCCTCATGGTTGCACATTTCTTTCAGCTTTTGTCATTCCAGTTGAAGAGAGACCATTTGACATTCTAGAGATGGCTGCATGCAAACATTTAAAACCTTTAAGAGAATACAGCACACCAGGGAGACTGTTAGTATGACTATGGGGAGGATAATACCAAGAGTTTGGAGTATGCTCCTTACCCAGGGTCCCCATAAACCAAACCACCTAAAATTAAATAGATTAAAGAATGAACTAGCTAGAGTCTACTCACTTGACTAAGTGGTCTTTTCGTTAATCCCCTACAACTGAATTTTTATAATTTACACTTGATATATTTCTCCATAGGCCACAAATGTCAGCAGCTGCACAGGTACTTTTCTGTTTAACCAATTCTATTATTTAGCATAACTTTAAAGTAGAATTTGCTGTAGAGCCTATTATGAGGGAGACATTTCTAATTATTGCCTCTTTTATTCTAAGCCATGGAAAAAGGACCGAACAAATGATGTCCTTCTAGAAGAGTGAAGGCCTCCTGTCAATGTTCTCTTTAATCCATGATGTGGGTTAAGAGGAGTTTTGACTGATTTAGAGGCAACGTATGTATCACTAAAGTTTCTCACCTACACTGGGCCTTCATCTTTTGTCTGTTAAAGTTATTCATGTATAAGGCTGGCTGCAAAATCCTTCACAAAGAAAAACGTACCCTATAAGAGCACATAATGGGCCCCCTTTTCATTTCTATTGTTCATAGAGGCATAAACAAGGAAAACATATTCAAAGATAAGAGTCTCATGATAATAGAAGTTTTGATCTGTGATCTTTCAGAAAAGCTGTTCACATCAAGGATGCCATCTTCTTCTGGGGAGAAACTTTCCTGATTAGTTTTACCTTAAGGATTCCAAGAGGTGTACAGTTCCAGGAGTGTGAGGGACCCTTCTCAGTTGTGAGATTATAAACCCAAGGTTCCAGGCTCCAAAGTTTTTCTGTAGTGTGGATGGCAAGGACGGTCTTTCTCTGATGTTCTCAGAAGATCAGGTCTTCGGGTTCTAGACTGAAGGGATTGTCCTCAGTGACCCATAAAAAACTTTCTTTACCAGGTAAAGTACACTGTAGCATAATAATCTACTGCTATAACATCAGCCCTCTTGCACGGAAAAGCTTTTATACACCAGAAAACATGCATTGAAAATGACAATTGAATGAAATTCCTTTATAAATGCTTAAATGGCCCATCAGGTAGCCAAATGTACCTGAGGCTTTAATTGTCCTCCTGGGAATATGGAACCAAACATTGGTTTTAAACTATTTCCGCAATTTATAAGTCACCACATCAATATATTCAATTTGGATTATTTTATATTTTCCATGACCAGTCATGGAATGAAGAACCTTTAATAGCAAAAGCTTTAAGGATTTAGGAAGGACAAGGCAGCTGTCCCGGTTCTTCATGAGACCATGCTTAACATTAGACATATGTCCTCTTGAATACCAGTTGTTTTCCAATTTAGGTGCATAGCACTGATAACTAATGGGTTATGATAGATAATTTGACTGAGACCATGGAGTTCATTCAAATTATATATTTAAACAATTTTAATGTTGGCTGATTTAGCATGATAATCTAGAGTTTGACTTTGAAAGATTTGTTAAATACCAAAGGTTTAAAACATTGGATATTACAAAATAGAATCTCAGATTACCATAAGTTACTCATTTAGCCAAAACGATAACTCAAAATTTTTTTAGGCCAGGCATCGTGGCTCATGCCTGTAATCCCGCCACTTTGGGGAGGCCCACCACTTTGGATCATTTGAGGTCAGGAGTTCAAGACCAGCCTGGCCAACATGGTGAAACTCTGCCTGTACTAAAAATACAAAAATTAGCCATTCATGGTGGTGGGTGCCTGTAGCCCCAGCTACTCGGCAGGCTGAGGCAGGAGAATCACTTGAACCTGGGAGGTGGAGGTTGGAGTGAGCCAAGACCACATCACTGCACTGCAATGAGACTCTGTCTCAAAAAAAATTTTTTTTTGAGGAAAAAACATTATTCTGATAAAGAAGAGACTCAGCTTTCCAAACAAGACCCAATGAAGATGGAGATAGCATGAGGACAACTGATTCTGTCTCCTTTCTTTCCTTTCCCCCACTTTTTCCTTTTGTAGTTTACTTAAAAGGTAAACAAAAACCTTTCACTGTCTTTTAATATTACATAAAATCATTTTTTTTTTTTTTTTTTGAGATGGAGTCTCGCTCTGTCACCCAGGCTGGAGTGCAGTGGCTGGATCTCAGCTTACTGCAAGCTCCGCCTCCTGGGTTTACACCATTCTCCTGCCTCAGCTTCCCGAGTAGCTGGGACTACAGGTGCCCGCCACCTCACCTGGCTAGTTTTTTGTATTTTTTAGTAGAGACGGGGTTTCACCGTGTTAGCCAGGATGGTCTCGATCTCCTGACCTCGTGATCCGCCCATCTCAGCCTCCCAAAGTGCTGGGATTACAGGCTTGAGCCACCGTGACTGGCCATAAAATCATTTTTAAAGTAGAAAATCAAATTTTATGTTTCCATTAGTGTATTTTTAATGTTAAAGCTAGTTTTAATAACATTTTATAAATCTATTCAGTTTTAATTAGTTTGACCATAAGGTAAGATTTATATAAACATTTTATAATGCTTTACCGTATTTTTTTTCTCAGAGCAGAACAATGTTCTAAGCAAACTCTGTTGTGCTTCTATTCCAATGTCCAATTAATGGGGAAAAAAACTAAATAATGCCAGTTTAACTTTAGCCAATATGTTCACACATAGAATCTCTTATAATTAATTTTTATAAACCTTTCACAACTTGTTCAAACCTTTAGCTTTATTTAACTTAAAACAATCCTTTAACCCTCTAACCTAGGCAAAAATTTACATTCCCGTACTTTCTTATAATCTCTTACAAAAACACATTTTATTCTCTTACACATCTTGTATGTAAACTTATTTTTTCAGTAGTCTCAATTACATGTTACAATGTTAACTCTTAGTGACTTTTACTTTTGGTGAAAACCTTGGTAAGTAAGGGATTTTAATTATGTATTAGGTGTGGAGCCTAGGACCCAGAGAGAAATGCAAATAAAGTCTGACTCTTTCCAGTGTCTAACTCCATGTGTCCCAGACCTTACCTAGCTGTAAAGCAGGCAAGCTGTACAGTTGAGTCATAGCAGCATTTTATGAAGCATTTAGGAGGCCTAATCACCTTTAAATTGTACAACATTTTTGGCATAAATTTCTTTTCTTAATTCTTTCACGACTTACACAGACCACGTACAACATGTTTAGACTTTATGACTTGCCCTAAACATCCCTCTTTTAAACAACCAGTCCTTTTACTTTAGGACAAGAATTTACCACACAACATCCTTTTTTATATAAAATCTCTTTTCTTTATAACCTTCTTTGCATAGCTAGAGGGCATGGCTGATTCCATACATCCCCATGCCTTATTTAGAATTTAATGTCTTCAAAATAAATTGAACAGTTTTCAAAAGTCAAAGCAGTTTATGACCTTAAAGCCTTTAGCAAACCTAATATCTGACCTGCATAATTTAGACAAAATGTTTTTATCAATAATCTTTAAAACTATTTTTATTTGCCAAAGATTACTGAAGTTACATGAACTAGAAGGCATTACTGTTTTTATTTTGCTTCGTGTGTGTGTGTGTGAATTTGTTTTTATTGGGGAACAGGGCACAGGTTGGGAGATGTCACCTTGGGCTATCGTATGCCCCACCTCCCAGAGAATGCCCGTTTGCATTCTAATCTTCCTGGGATGCTTTATGGAACTTTCTCTTCTTAGAGCTGCTCTTGCCAGCTGCCTCTTCAGGCCCACTGCTGACTGGCTCCTTTTTGGAGAATTTCCTCTTTTTCTTGGAGCCACTTCTGTGGCCTGCCTCTTCGGGGTCATTAACTGTTTCCTCCTTCGGTGAAGACTTCTTCCTCTTGGGAAGACTGGTGCTGGCAGCAGTCTCTTCAAGATCACTACTCATCAACTCCTCCTTGGAAAAAGATTTCTTTTTCTTGGGTTTGGAGAAAGAGATAGATGGGTCTTCCATTCCATTCTCATGAGGAACCTCCTGGGGCTTCTGCTTTTTCTTCTATTTGGGTTTTTCACTCGTCTCCTCACACTCCTCTGGAGTACTACTGCTGTTTTCTGAAGATGTGAGGGCAAGTGCAACCAGCCATTTCTTTTCCTTCTTTAAGCATTTCTTCTCCTGTTTCTCCAGCTTCCTAGTAATCTCAGCAGCCGCTTCCTCTGCCTGAACCATTGCTTCCTTCATGACATCCAGATTCTTTCGTGGTATCTCTCCAGTCTCATAGAAGGACAGTCGCTCTTCAACTTGTTCTCAAAGCCTCTCCCCAAATACACTCATGGGCACCTCAGAGAAGCAATCGATTCATGAGGCAATACTGCATTTGTTTGCCAGGTATTGGGAGATGTGGCCTTTGTTCTTGGCAGCTGCTTGGCCAATGAAGGTGGAGTGGAAAATGAGTCCATATTTTGGTGTGTTACCCCTTGTCTTCAGGGCTCTGGAGACTTGGTCCCTTTGCTGGGCCCTGGGAATCACTCAGACACCAGGACTAGCTATTTTGCTTTTAAGAGTTTATTTTTGTTTAAGCCAACTAATTAGAGCTCTTTTATATAAACATTACACACAACACATATGTAGTTACACAGAAAGACAGACAGACAGAAGATTACTTCAGTAGTTGTAAGATTTTTCATTTGCCAGTTTTTAAGTTTCTTAATTGGTTATTGGCTTTAGGGTGGAGCCCTTGGAAAAACAGGGCCAGGAAAGAGGTTGAATATCCACTTTTAATTAAGATGACTTTTAATCATAGCACTTTTTAATGAAATCCATTTAAAATTTCCTATTACCTAATTTTAGCCAGGCTAAATGGCCAATATTTCTGGCTTTTGAAATTTACCAGAGGTAACCTCCCAAGTGCTCAGAGAAAGGAAAATTTGTTTGAGGTGGCGTCTCGCTCTGTCACTTGGCTGCAGTGCAGTGGCACGATCTTGGCTCACTGCAACCTCTGCCTCCTGGGTTCCAGCGATTCTCCTGCCTCAGCTTCCCGAGTAGCTGGGACTATTGGTGTGTGCCACCATGCCCAGCTAATTTTTGTTTTTTGTTTTTTGGTTTTTTTGGAGACAGAGTCTCACTCTGTTACCCAGGCTGGAGTGCAGTGGTGCGATCTCAGCTCACTGCAAGCTCCGCCTCCTGGGTTCACGTCATTCTCCTGCCTCAGCCTCCTGAGTAGCTGGGACTACAGGAGCCCGCTACCACGCCCAGCTAATTTTTTTTGTATTTTTAGTAGAGATGGGGTTTCACCATGTTAGCCAGGATGGTCTCGATCTCCTGACCTTGTGATCCGCCCGTCTCGGCCTCCCAAAGTGCTGGGATTACAGGCGTGAGCCACTGCACCTGGCTACTTTTTGTATTTTTAGTAGAGACAAGGTTTCACCATGTTGGCCAGGATGGTCTCAAACTCCTGACCTCATGATCAACCCACCTTGGCCTCCCAAAGTGCTGGGATTACAGGCATGAGCCACTGCACTTGACCAGAGAAAGGACAATTTAAGATAGTCCATGGAGGAGAAGAGACTAGACAAGGTTATGCAGCTACTAAACCAGAAAGGACTTACTTCCTAAACAGGGAATCAAACCTGCACTGCCAGTATGAAATGCCAAAACACTAGCTACTGAGCTACAGCACAGGGTAGTCTCTGTTAGCCTTCCCAAAAGAAGTCTAGAGTAGTTAATTTTGAGCTTGCAGAACCTTTTAACTACTCAAGATAATTTTTAGAGCAACCTATGACATAAACCCTAAAATCCCTGTTCCCTGGAAGGCAGAGACCAAGAGGAAGTACTGCCACGTGGTTACAAGGTCAAGCACCCAAGGACATAAAACAAGATGGAGACCCCATTCAGTTGTTTGTTTGTTTGTTTCAGGGACATGCAGGAAAGTTTGTTATTAACCAGTTTGCTGGGTCATCTTGGGCAGCGAGTTTATGGGGTCCTAAGCCCATGTTTTATCCTAAGGTACCCCTCAACACAGAAAAACAAATTCATAGCACAAATACATCAGTTTGAGACTGGCCTCAGAATTTTTTTTTTTTTTTTTTTGCATTAATCATGACTTTCAGAAGAGTAAACAGTGACTTTTACCATTCATTCAACTGTTTGCACAGACAGAGAGAAACCAGAAATCTGACTGGTAAGAAATTCTTACCCTTGGCCGGATACAGTGGCTCATGCCTGTAATCTCAGCACTTTGGGAGGTTGAGGTGGGCAGATCATGAGGTCAGGAGTTCAAGACCAGCCTGGCCAACATAGTGAAACCCCCGTCTCTACCACAAATACAAAAATTAGCCGGGTGTGGTGGCACATGCCTGTACTACTCCCAGCTACTCAGGGGACTGAGGCAGGAGAATCACTTGAACCTGGGAGGCGGACGTTGCAGTGAGCCGAGATCGTGCCACTGCCCTCGTGACAAAGCAAGACTTCAACTCAAAAAAAAAAAGAAAAAAGAAATTCTTACCCTTTTACCAGCATGCCAGGCTTCTGGGTTCCCTTTCCTTTGCCCCAGCAACCCAGCTTGCGCATCATCACACTGGGGGCCAAGCTTCATCATAAAGGAAAATTATCTTTTTTGGTTCTGACCAGAGTAAAATACATGTAATAAAACACAGACATTGGCCACTCTGCTTAGCACCCAATATCAAACGGGCAAGGCTTAAATTTGCTCACATGGGCCCCTTCATCTCTAATCCAACCTCCGACTACGAGTTTCAACACATGTTCTCTGGGCAAAATGTTTGTCCTGAGTAACAGAAAAGATAAAAAAGGGAAAGGAGAGAGAAAGAGAGAGAGATTGAGAGAGAGAGAGAGAGAAAAAAAAAAAGCATTGTCTGTGCCAGGGTGGGGAAGGCGAAATACTCAGGGAGCCCAGAGAAAGACCCACACTGAAAAGCTCAGGTGGCTGCAGCTGCTGTCATGAAGGGATTTATCTTTTTTCCAGTAGTCCCGTTAGCTCTCAACTTTCCCCTTTTGGGGAAGAAAAAAGCTCCCCATGTCCCACGATCCTCTATATGCCTAATCCTGTTACTCACAGTTGTCAGCAAAGAGTGCAAGGCAGATTATTCCAAAGGGAATAGCAGTTGACATCCTGTGGTGCCAAATTTGTTCTCAACCAAAAGGGACTTTATTGAGAGCCTTTTTTTTTTTTTTTTTTTTTTTTATTTAAATACAGTCTCACTCTGTTGCCAAGCTGGAGTACAGTGGCGTGATCTTGGCTGCGATCTCGGCTCACCGCAACCTCCGACTCCCTGGTTCAAGCAATCCTGCTGCCTCAGGCTCCTAAGTAGCTGGAATTATAGGCACATGCCACCACGCCCAGCTAATTTTTGTATTTTTAGTAGAGACAGGGTTTCACCATGTTGGCCAGGATGGTCTGGATCTCCTAACCTGGTGATCTGCCCACCTCAGCCTCCCAAAGTGCTGAGAATACAGACGTGAGCCACAGCTCCTGGCCAAGAGCCTTCATTTTAAAATGCATTGCTGTTCATTCAGAACGTTCCACTGTAAGTTATCTTTAGCAAGATTTTGCTGTTTCTGTAAGACTTCGCTGCCTCCCAGGCCTAAAGTATAAGCTAGAAGGAACTCAGTTTTCCACAAATTAAGGATCACATTTTTATCAAAAATATTGGCTTTACTCTCAGGTTCTCTTGATCAACTTAGCCAATAATTTTTCCCACCTAAGCATGCAAGAGAAATGAAACAAAAGGGTAGAACACAAAAATCCCTGTGAAGTTTCCAAAGCCAAATTTTATAATCCCTGAAATGTTACTGCTTACTACCAGTTCCTTTCTGACCCGTTCAGATGTAAGACACCTCTAACTGGATCCAAGCCAGTTCATTACTGGATCAAATCCATTCCTGGACCCAGTCCAGTTTCTGTTGCGACTCCAAACCCAGTTTGAATCAGATATTTGCTCAAAGAAACTTGGAGAGCTCAAAACACAAATCTGTGGAACTCTGAAATCCAAGAGGAAGCTTACTCACAATCCCCAGTCACTCTAAGAGATCAATGGACACAAGTGGGTCCTGCAGTCACCTTGCGTGTTCACTTGGTGCTCCTGGGGATCACTAGAAGCTCCACTTCAGATCCCGCTTCTGACACCATCTGATAAAAGAAAAACTTCAGCCAAATTAAATTTAAAGGAGTTTAATTGAGCAATGAAGGATTCACAAATCAGGCAGCCCCCAGTATCACAGCAGATTCACAGAGACTCCAGGGGTGCCTCATGGTCAGAACAAATTTATAGACAAAAAGTTAAAGTGACATACAGGAATTGGAAGGGAGGTACAGAAACAGTGAGACTGGTTACAGCTCTGCATTTGCCTTATTTAACACAGTTTGAACACTGAGCAGTCTATGAGTGGTTGAAGTATGGCCACTGAGATTGGCCAACACTCAGCTATTGTTACAGGTGCATACTATTGAGTAAGGTTTTCAATTTTGTCTGATTATTAAGCTAAGTTACAGTTCAAGCAGAAGGACTCCAATATAGAAGTATGGAGACGTTCTCAGGTCATATTTAGTTTGCTTTAACAGCCCTAAGCAGTTCCCAGGTTGACTTTTCCCTTTAGCTTAGTGATTTTGGGGGCCCCTGAGATTTATTTTCCTTTTACATTTCCCCCCTTTTCTTTTTAAAAATCTTTTCTAGAAAGCATTTTAAAAGAAAATGAGTCTCTGGTTTGAGGTTTTGTTTGATCTCTCATGGCTAGGATGGTTTATTCCTAGACAGGTAGGTCCTGAGCTATTAGGAAAGTTCATTTTTAGCAGGGTGTGAAGACTCATGTCCTATAAAGAGAAAATAGGGGGAGGAAGGAAGAAAACAACAACAAACAAAGAAACAATCCTGGAAAATCAATATAGGCCACATTACTCTGAAGTCCATACATCAGTAGGCAGATATGAAAGTGCCTTATGTATGTAAATAAGTTACTATTATTTTCTTCTGAAGTTTAAGTTGTCTAGCTTCAGTTTACAGGGTTTTATGAAAATGCAGCTTAGTTTTTGGTGACTCCAAATTATAAAAAATGGGGAAAAAAGAAGGAAAAAAATTGAAAACATTATTTTGCAGGCTTATAGCCAAGAAAAATTTGTCCAAATTGTAGGAAATAATAAAAATTGAAAAACATTAGGTAAGACTAGAATCTAACAACAGGTTACTGTAGTTTTTGAAACATATTTTTTTCTCTGTCCGGTTTCCCATTTTTACTAAAGACAAATCATGGCAGGACTGGTTTGCTTTATTATACTTGGCCTGATTATTTGTATACAATGCAGTCAATTATTTTTTTTACATAGCCTTTTAAATTGGCTTTGATGGAACTTTGTTCCATAGAAGGAATTTCACATAAGACGTTTTTAAAGCCAAGCCCAGCCATAGATTTGTACCATCAAATACCTATGAGTTAGGTGAATTCCTCTCCTCTTGAGGTTTTAAGACAAACTTAGGGCTCCTGAGCCTGTCAGAAAGTGACATTCATTACTTACCACAGGTCGGGAACCCTGTACAGGGACTGTGTTGA